GTAGTGTCCCCTCCCTCCTCTCTCTCTCTCTCTCTCTCTCTCTCTCTCTCTCTCTCTTTTCTTGGTATAGATTAGCATAAACCCTAAACAAGTATTTAAGGTTACCTATTGGTCTTCTTCTGAATCAAATGATGAGTTGCAGAGAGCGAACATAAAGTTGGGGACATTCAAGGCAATGATAAAGGTGAACCAGGAGAAGATCACCACAAGCATCTCCCATACTTAGTTGCCCACATAGTCGAGGTATTAATGGATCTCTTTTCATATTTGAACTGATTTCAACCGACTCTTTTTTAACTCATCATTTTTTGGTTTTTTGTTTTTTTCACATTTTTGGAGAGTTTTAGCGTTTTTTATGGTGTCATGTTGTCGGGAAGTATGATTTCTCTTTCTTAACTTTAGCAATCCGCATGATCATGTGGAGTTTTTCTATTCTTTTCATGAAGATTTTATCCGAGAGTTGTTCTTGCTTTGATTGATGTGTCACGTTATGGCACATGGCTGGTTTTTTTTAACATTCCCTGCTGGATTAAAGTTGATCTGTTTCTTATTACTAACTAAAGCAGAAAACGAAAAAGTTGATGTGGTTCTTTAAACTGAGTAAGTTGTGTTCATTGAATTAAGGATACGTGGTCTTTTAAAACTGATCGTTCTCCTTTGTATTGTCAGGTACTCAAACCTATGTGCAAATTCGCTGAATAGCCATTTTGATGCAAGGATTTGTTCTTGCATTAATACGGTTTTATATGTGAAGTGTTCGTAGGCTTGTGAAGAATACTGTGGCCATGCTTGTCTAATACCATGTTTACCTGTTTGAATTCCTTTATGGAGTGTAGATAGGTTAGTCATAATCCATTCACATGCATTCACCTGTGTAGTTTAATGCTTCTTAGACTTTTGGGAGCTAAAAAATTGGCAAATCTTTTAGCAAAAAATGGTTTTGGATCACTTAACAATAAATTATTCTACGAAACAAGAACTATTTTTGATGAACAAATCATTAATGTCCAACTTAGGAATTAGGCTTGGATCGCCCATGCCATCACCTTGAGTCCACCTGTGACTTGGGTGAGTTGGTTCTTTATGTCATAATCCTAATTAACTTTAAGTTAGTTAAATGAAAACGTGTAGAGTAAGAAGGTAATACTGAAAATCCTATAAGTTCAAGGAGTTGGGGAAAAAAAAACGGTTCATGGAATAATATAAGTGAGTTTCTAGCAATCTATAACAAGCATCTAGAAGCAGTGTCCAGTTTGTCTCTTTCTTGATAGTTAACCTAAGCAGATTTGGTAGGTATTATTCAAGTGGCCTATCACCACGCTATTGAGTGGCTCGGGTAGGTCGGGAACGACTTGCTTTTATTCGAGGTTTCAAAAAACGCTAGGCGGCCTGCCTGGCGCCCAACGCTCAGCGCGTACCCGGGCGCCCAGAACCTCGGGCGCCCTGCAGTGCAAATTCTTAATTTTTTTTTTATATATTTGCTATCCAAATGCACATATATGTGTCAAAATTTGTAATTTATTCCATTTGAAATTGAAAATATCGCAAGTTTGCAACATACCTTTTTATATACAAACATAACACATGTCTTAGCCTCTCAGATAATCAGGTTGAGAATAAACTTATTCAAAATTTTGAACCATACAAAACATTTAAAAGTCTAATAGGCGACTCTAAGGTCTCCAACTCTCATATTCTCCATATTCCATATCCATAAAATAAACCATACTAACATCCAAGTCTCCAACTCTCCAAGTCATCAACAAACTGACTTCCAAAAATATAAAAAAACCAGTAAATCACACAACGAAATAGTCCAAAAAGGCAAAAAAATTACAAACCACATAACTAAATAAAACTCGTTCAAACTCCAATGTCTAAAGCCCAAACCAAGATGGTACAATAAAGTATTAAAGTTACTTCAAAAGAAGAGAGAAGACAATCAAGACATCAGCAAGAATCAGAATCATCATCTTCATTGCATTCATCTGCATCAGAATTGAGGCCGTCATCATCAGAATCATCACCCTCTTCAACATATTCCTCTTCTTCCAAAGATTCTTCTGAATCTGCCTCCTCTTCCTCTATCGCCCTCCGTGAAGTACCAGCAGAAGAAGTTGCTCGAGTGGCCCTCCTAGGATCAAAAGCTTATCCCAAAGCCTCCTCGACCATTTCCCATGTCAAACCCTTCCCAAGGAAGACCTTCTCAGTACCAGGGTCATTAACTAGCCAATCTGAAGCATTCTCAAATCTTTCGAAGAGATAGGGTCCTTCTTTAGCTGGTTTTTCTTTTCCTTGAGCCTTTGATTCTCTCTAACAAAAACCAAGTCATTGAGCTTCCTTTGCTCAAGCCTATTTCTTCTCTTTGTATGCACCATAAGGAAAAATAATACATTAGTAACTACTATGGGTCTATGATCTCTTACCTTTTATGAATCTATATTACAAAATGAATATGAACTTATAAACAAAAAAAGCATATAAAATTTTATTCCTTTAAAATAGTAAAATACTATCTCAAACGAACTCCAATTGCGCTCACAACCCGAAGAGGTTGTTGTCAAACTCAAGATCCGCATAGCCATCTTCTGGAGGTTTGGAGCGCTACTCCCATGTTGTCGCCACCATTGGGCCACAATATGTGGGCAACCTTTATAATTAATTTAGGTCTTTAACATTATCAGAACTTGAAAGAAAATTATAAATTTATATTTTATAAAACAAAAGTACATAAGTCAAAAGAATATTACCTGGTTCGTCTTTGTTTCTCTGCCTTAATGCCATATCTTTCCCAAATGACATCAAAGAACACTTATACAAAATTAGCTCTTCAGGTCATATCTTATCTTGGATATTTGGATCAGGAATTAATTTCTCAAGGCACTCATTAAAACCATCCATAATTATCCCTTTTGACTCGATATCTGCATCTACATAAAAGAATTTGGGGTTTAAGTAGTACCTCGTTGCATGCAATCGTCAGTGGAGCTGCCTATACCAGTATCATTTATAATCTCCCAAATTGGGGCATACTTCGTTGCATCATTGTCCAAATTCTCTGCAATCTCATTCATAGCTCTTTCCATTGCATCATGTATAAAGCCCATGGAGGGCTTATCAACATCAACTAAGGGCAAGACCTTCACCAAGGGAAGAAATACTAATATCGCATGCTTCACTCCACGTCAAAAATGTTTCGAAAGAATGATATTGTGTCTTCTTTCCCTTGGCATCTCTAGACCACTTATACCTACTCCACTCCTCTGAAGCAAACATAGACCTTAATGCGATCCTCCTCTTATACATGCTTTGTAGACTAAGGTAGGTAGTGGCAAATCTAGTGACCCCAGGCCTCACTAGCTCTATCTTTTTTGTAAACTTGCGCATCATGCTAAGGGTAAGTATGTGACTGTATATGAAGATTGTAACCTCCTTAGCCTTAAAAATAATTCCTTTAATAGGAGGCAATTCACCAATTGCCTCAAGCATAAGATCTACGCAATGTGCAGCGCAAGGAATCCAAAATATGCGAGGCCTCTTTTGTCGAAGCAAATGACCTGCAGCTAGATTGGGAGTAGCATTATATGTGACCACTTGAATTACATGTTCCTCCCCAACCTCTTCAATACCCTTATCAATGAAAGAAAATATATAATGCACATCATGAACATTGGAAGCATCGATTGAGCGCAAAAAAATTGTTCCCATGGGACAATTTACTAATAAATTCATGTTACTCCTCCTATCACTCCATAAATCTGTCATCAAAGAAACCCCAAATTTAGCCCATCCCTCCTTATGAGTCTTGAGATATTCATCAGTGTACTTGACTTCTTTCTTCAGTAGTGGCTCTCCAATTTCATAAGGAGTTGGAGCTTTCAAACCTGACCCAAATGGTCCAATTGCTTCCAGCATTGCATGGAAGCTATTCAAACGAGCAGTGTTAAAAGAAATGCTCGCATGGTAAAACCACCGAGCAATATACTGAATCACCTTGGCTCTATCTTCCGTTTAAACCTTTTTTCAGTTGTCACCTATTTTTTCCCTTTTTCCTTGCCTTTCTCAATTACTGTCTCATGGCTAGGTATAAAAAAACTATCTATTGGCCCTCTCGTACGAGCCTTCTTAGACCCAAAAGCCCTCTTGGTTTTAGAGCTCTGATTTCCAACCATGGCTACCTCTTCTTCCCCGTCTTCATCATCCTGTTCTTCAGTTTCAATATTATCATAAAAAATATGAACCTCCGACTTTAATTCTGCAATATCCTTTTTTTTTTGCAACATTTTTACTCTTTTCAGCTTCAATGTACTCCAAAATTTCTTTCTTTACAAGATTTGGGACTTTCTTACATGGGGCGACATCACCTCTAATACCGACAAGATGTTTCTTAAATCTGTTTATGTCGACATTAGAAACATGTCCACAGAAATTGCACATAATTTTATTTTTGTCATTCTTATCCGGGTTAACACAATATTTTCATCCCGGATCTCCACCTTTAGTAGATCCCGCAGAAGACATCTCAAATTGAAAAAATAAATATCAAATAAAGATTACAGATTGACCTTTTCTACCCAATCTCTGATCTTCGATGTTGGTTATCTCAATCGAGCTACGAATCAACTTAAAAGTCTTTTAATACCACCAATAGCACCCTAAAAATAATTTCAATCAGAAAAACAAACTTTTTCAATCAACAAGAAGTACTTTTGATTCTCAGCAATTGCTTTAGATTCTCATAAATAAGTTTAAGATTGAGGGTTTCTTGTTTTTTTTCAGTTTGGGGTTGAAAAATAAACCCCTAAACTTATTTTATACAAACTTGGGGGTCAAAATGACCCCCTTTACTCTTTTGGGCGGGCGCCCGCCTAGCCCACCTGGGCACCTGCCCAGGTATAGCCGCTCGTGTTGGGGCGCCCAAGTCAAGGCGTGCGAAAATTTTTTTTGGGGCGCTTAGGCTTGGGGCGGTCCGTTTTTTTAGACATTGCTTTTGCTTCCCACTTGAAACCTTGGGCCCCATTATAAAGTTTATAGAAGTCATAGGTGGCAAGGAATCTTGACAATGTTCCTTTTCTCGTTTATGCACAATATAAGGCTTATGCTTTAGATTCATTGAAACCGACCCTCCAAAGGCTAAAAGAATTTGTTGGAGTGTTACTATAGAAGCAATGGATGAACATGTTATATTTTTAACTGCTAGTTTAGTTTATCCAAAATGAAGTTTTACTGCTTCTAATATGTTTGTGAACTACATTTCTTGGAATATGTGATATGCATGTTAATTTCCCCCCCCACAAGTATCATGAATTTCAATGTGATGTAATGACTTCTATGTTACAGTTAATAGATTAATGTAGCTAGAAGGGTGGATGTTCTAAGATTAATTGTATTCAGAAACAAAGCATACATGTAAGATCGTGATAGGACACTCCTTGCGGGAGCCTTTTATGTTTAGTTGCTGTTATTCTTCGTATTTTATTTGCTTCGAATATTGGTAGCAATGATATTTTTTGGGAACAGTAACAAATTTTTGTTGTTCATATCAGCGCATATTGATAATTGAAAGTTTGAACACTGATAGATAACCCCTCCATGCAGAAAAATAATGATGAAATGGGGAACCTACACCTATGAATCTTTTTGTCATGATCTCGCATTTTTACTCAATTATGAAGAGAAAATGTGAAGCAATTAAATTATAGGAAACCTGCAAATATCTCTCCCTGCACATTTCTGCCTCTAGATGGTGATAGGCCTTATGCATTTATGCTGCAGGTGTTCGTATGTGCCATAACAAATCATGCATACAGTTTTTTTTAATAAATTTTGTACTTGCACCTTACATTTATAGATTTTGTTTGAACATGGAAATTTGAAGATGCTTATCGTCAGAAATAGTAATTTGAGTATACTTCATACGAGCTTTATCTTTTGGGTGTGGTTTCTATAAGGTTGCAACCTTCAACAATCCAATTAAGGCGCACCTCCAAAATTTATCATAATATGTAATTTTTGTGTAAAATACTCTTTGGATTATTTGAAAATCTATTTTTATCCCTAATTATAAAATCTAAACTCAAAAAATGGTTAAAATCAAGTAGATCTATGAACATATGAAAATCTTGAAAAGGACGATCTAGATAATGTGTTGCAAGATGCACTATTTATGGGACTCAAATTCTTTGTTTTCATATTCATATATCTCGATATCTAGATGACCAATTAGAGGGTTTTTTAACATTAAAATAACATTTTTCTGATGGATTTTTGAGGTGCATCTTTAATTCTACATTTTAAGGTTACAACCTTATATAAACTTTTTCCTTATCTTTTTTAGATTTTGGAAATGAATCTGGAGGATGATGCTGAAGAGGAAGGTGCGAATGTTGATCTAGATTCCCAAGGGAAGGGAAAGAGTGTTGTGCTTAAAACATCTACACGTAAGGTGTGCAACATTAAATCTTGTGCAACGTTAAATTTATGGTTGCTTTGCAGTCGATGGCTCTGCTACCATGTTCCTTTATTGTTTGGTGTGTTTTACTGGGCTCTTGATGCTGATGTTGATGCCAATATATTATTGTGGCTTTTGTTGGGTTTTGATTTCAGGCATTCAGGAAAGTATAGGTTTATTTTGCATGTGGTGCTTCATTTAATTTTGGAATTTATAGCATGTATATTGATTTATTTTTGATGGATTTACTGGCCTAATTAAAATTATATGTTGATTTATTGTGTTTCGAGTATGGATGCAAGATGAAACTAGTTTCTTAAATGATTGTGTAATTGTAGGGCTGTCAATGGGCTTGGTGGTCTGGCCCTAAAAAGCTAGGTCCTGGGCCTAGGCTGAGGCCACAACAGGGGAGACGGGGTTAGGCTTGTCTTGACCCTTTTTTGCTTTTTCTTTTATTTCTCTTGGATTGTATTTGGCCTGCCCGGCCCTAACCTGGCAGGGTTAGACTTGGTTCCGGGCTGGGCCGCGCTTAGGCTGGCGCATGGGTAGAAGGGCCGAGCGAAGGCAGGGGCTGGCCTGGCACATTGCCAGCCCTATAACTGATTACAAATGTTACTTGAAGCAAATATTTCTTTGTGCTTTTCTTTAGTTTCTCTTTATCCGCTTAAAAAACTTTGATACTATTTTGTATGTGACTGACAACTTCAAAGCATTTATGGTTGGTTGCTTGATTGCAGACCATATTTTTGCCTTTTGTTGTGCTCGTAGATCCTGACAAGCTTAAACCTGGTGATTTAGTTGGGGTGGATAAAGACAATTATGTGATATTAGATACTTTGCCATCTGAGTATGATTCGTGTGTTAAGGCCATGGAAGTTGATGAAAAGCCTACTGAAGATTCCATTGACTTAGGAGGTCTTGAGAAGCAGGTGGGTTCAGTTGTTTCACGTTTCTCGGGGACTGTAATGCTTGTTTTTTTTGGGAAGTGTGATGCTAGGAATTTCTTTTTTCTTGCCTCCCTCAATGGACTAGATTTCTATGTTTTGAACCTCAGATAATTCTCCCATAGAAGATAATTCTCCTTATTCTATGGGAATGAAACAATTACCTTGATGGGTGTTAGTCATTAATTATTAGATGGTTGCAGTGGATTACAAGCAACTGCCAATGGGCTGAGATCATTGAAATTCCTTGATGGCTGTTTTCCTCCAATATCACTTTCAACACATCTTTTTTATTGATAAAGAGATGTCTTGTTTTTCTTTGGTGTAGTTAGTTTTGGCCTATTTCTGAGTGGTACAAAACATGATTTGTTCTGGCAGATTCAAGAATTTGTTGAGACTATTGTTTTACCTATAACCCACAAGGAAAGGTTTCAGAAATTAGGAGTTCGTCCACCCAAAGGAGTTCTTCTCTATGGACCTCCTGGAACAGGCAAAACTCTAATGGCACGTGCATGTGCTGCTCAGATCAATGCTACTTTTTTGAAGCTTGCAGGTCCCCAATTAGTTCAGGTAATTTTTTTGGTTTATGTTTGCTGATGTGTCTTAAATAGTATAGTTTGTTGATTTGGTTACTGTATTCAGATGACCTATATGCTTTCTAGCTTACACTTCTTTTATCGTCTGAAGGAGAATTTGTTGATTTTATTACATAATGTGATTGTGAATGTGTGCTGGTTTAAAATACATGCCACATTCTCTATCTTTGGCTCATACATCTCTGTTTCTTTGGTTTGTCATTAGTTTTTGGTTCTTTAACACTTGGTTCTGAGGAATTCTCGATAGTTTTCAAGATTGTCAAGCCCTTCTACTATATGAGAGTGGAAATCATGAGCTGCAATATAAATCACTACTTGGATTGCACCTATCATGTCTAATTCAAGGGAATATGATTAAAGTGGATTGATTTGAAGGGCTTATGGGACTTTTGGAATTGGCAAAATTTGAGGGTCTTGCATAATTGAATATTCCTGATTGAGTCGGGTGTGCATGATGTGTCTCACGTACACTTGGCGCGTTTGGTTTGCGTGAAACTGTTTTCTAGAAAACATTTTCACATAAAATATTCTCTCATGTGGTTAAGGTCGGGAATATTTTCATACCAATGTGTCTTAGTGCATCGTTTCACACCAATTGCCAACTAATTGATGTAAAAATATTCCCACACTTAAACACATGAGAGAATTTTTTCATATGAATATGTTTTCCGGAAAATAATTTCACTCGAGCCAAACGTGCCATAAGTGGCAATCCTTCCCAATTGAGAGAGCTCACCTCAGTAGTGGGTCTCATTGTGAATGGGGGGTACACTTGGGTAGTTAGATAGTCGGATACTTAGAGAAGTTTGAAGTTTTGTTCTCACTGAGGGTACTGAAAAAATTGTAAGTAGGACTGGTGTGCCTACCTTGTGGTCAACACTCATTCATGGCGATTTGTTCCACTTCTTTCATGCCTGGTCCAACTACTCGCATTTTTGCTGGACAATTGTCAGTTGTAAATTTCTTGGTTTGTGCTGTAAGCGGTTCCATTTTCTCAATCAATGACAACTTAGGATGTAAGTTTTCATTCTCTTTAATTCGAAAGGAAAAAAAATACCATAGAAGCCTACTCTCAATGAAGTTATGGAATAAAAGGAGTTGCATCAATGTCGGAGGAACCTTTAAATTCTCTCGTCATATTTTGAGTTCACGTATCCTGATATGTATGATATCTGTTTTCTTACCTTAGGGGTATGTTTGTTTCAGTTCAATGAAATTAACCTCTTTTCCCATGTTTATGAAATGGGAAAGTGGCTCCACTCAAATTTGGAAATATGAGCTTGCAAAAGTTCCACTATAAAAATTAGCGGCCTTATGTGGGAAATCTATTCATTTTCACTTTTATTCCTCTCCCCTTTTTCTACTTCTCTCTGTACTATCTGTCTCACCTTACTATCTTTCTCTCCTCCCTTTTCTATCTCTTCATGTCTCTTTTCTCACTCCTCCATCTCCTCACCCTTCCTCTCTTCTCTCTTTCTTACCCTAAACTTCTCTCTTTATATACCCTTACTATTTCTGTCCTCTCTCACTCTCCTGCACCCCTTAATGTTCTTTTTTGTAAGCAAGGGTTTTTGTGTTTTATTGTATGTTTCTGAGCACCCGACTTGTGGGATGCCATCACCCACACCTCGTGGGTTTTGTAAACATATTTTACTATCTAATACATATCGTCACATTTTACCTAAAAAAAAAGAGATATATCTCTGTCGATTTATTTCCTGATATAGATTTCATAATTAATAAACGTGCCCTGGATGTCTATGCCCTGATAAAAGTGAATGTTAATGGTAGTTATCCTGTTCATTCTAGTTCCATTGCTCACATTATTGTGTGGTACTTTTCTAGTCTTCAGGCCCACAAGGATACCGTAATTACCACATCATCCGTGCTTTCTGCTGTTTGGAAGGACATTGTTGTGATTAATTTTTTCTGAGGACAATTCTCTTTTTTGGCTTCCATTTGAATTGTAAATTGTCTTTCTCGTGCATGTGCATGTAAGTCAGTATCTCCGGGTTGTTGAATTATGCATGCATTACATATCTCCAACCATAAACAAATTTGATGCAATTATTATCATTATGAAAGGGATTGCCACCGATTTGATGCAATTGTTATTGTTATGAAAGGGATTGCCATCCCTTTGTACTATTGAGCGAGGTGTGCTCAATTTTGTTGCACCGTGTCAAAAAAAAAAGAGACCTTGCACATAGGCTTAACAATTATAGCAAAATTAGCTGCCAAAAAAGAAAAGGAACACTAGTGGCATCTTTGTGAAACTCTGATGTTTGCGGACTTGTTTAGAGTGGGTAAGTAGTTTTTTGAGCATATTTAATTTATGTCATTGCACTTTTTAAATGCTTCTTGCTTTCCCTAAATCAAGCTAAAGATAGACGTCTTTATTTATCTTTCACTTCTGCTTGTGAAACTCATGATCCTGTGTTCTTTACTTGAATGACTTTAAATTTTTCTGTTTGGTTCATTTAGTTGACTAAATGAAATATTCACTGGATGGTCATTAAGTTGTACGATTTTATCTATGTCGTGATTGGCACTTTGCTCCTTGAGCACAATAAACATGCTTGTATTCTTGCTATGTTTTGGGGTATTAGATTTGCGTTGATTCGGTGGCTGTATTTTTTTCATTGTTTTTATAGAGCATTTCTGTCCCAAAAATCTCCTTTTCATGCCTTAGTCAATTTCCATCATTTTTCGTATTAGCACTTAACAATTCATTGAGTTGTTCTACACGAACTTTAAAATTTTATCATGGGAATTTGTGACTTCATTGCATTGCAATGGCTGAATAGTAAATTGTTGATGTAATAGCTCAGAAGTTCATTGGTGATGGAGCAAATCTTGTGCGTGATGCATTTCAACTTGCTAAAGAGAAATCCCCCTGCATCATTTTCATAGATGAGATTGATGCATTTGAGACTACATTGCATTGCAATGGCTAAATAGTAAATTGTTGATGTCAAATACCTCAGAAGTTCATTGGTGATGGACAAAATCTTGTGCGTGATGCATTTCAACTTGCTAAAGAGAAATCCCCCTGCATCATTTTCATAGATGAGATTGATGCAATAGGAAAAAAACGATTTGACAGGTGTGTTGCTTTTGCTGTTGTTATTTGAATATTTTTATTATGGGTTGTTTAATCGTCCAAAGCTACATGCATGTAAAGGTCAAGCTTGTAGCATTATGGAATCACATTGCAATATTTATTTTAGTTTTGTCGGAAGTTGGGGAACTACACTTTGCTCTTCTATATAAATTGTGTATATTGCTTTAATTTTATTGGAACCACCTCTTTTGTTTGCTGTGATTGATGGAATCTGGAAGCTGAATTTACTCATGTAACACTCTTTTGATATGGTTGTATTAATGCATATTCGTATATATTTATTGTTCCAGGGTGATTAATGTCCTTTTACTTTGTGAATCATTGGAATGTGGGCTAGAAGTCTATTTTTTGGAGAATATAGACACAATTAGATACAAGGGTTTTAGTCTAAAGAAGTCAATAGTATCAAAGCTGAAATGTGTGAATGATAAATTTGTCTATATCCCATTGTTCTGGTTAACTGTTTTGTGCTTATGGTGAGTTTTGAGGGACAATGTCATAATACAAGACGGGTTTAGGCGATGCCTGTGAGAGTGGATTCAGAGTAACTGTGTTTGTGGCTAGGCCTTTATGTGAGGAGGATCTGCTATTAGCATTGCTACATTGTTTTTGCTTGGGCTTGTCCAATTAGGTTTGTGGGATTTGGAAATGAAAGCTGGGAGGAATGGTTTCCTTGCTCTATCTTCCATTATTTTTTGCTCCCTCTTTTAGATACTTGGGAAGCCTTTTTTTGGCCGTGCTTAAGTTAGATGTTTGGTGCTGCGGAGTCTATCCACCTTGTTTGGGTTTTTGTTTAGATGGTGGGGTCTGCTTTATGGAGGTGTTAAGGGAATACTATAATTGATGCGATTTAAGGAGCCCATCTCAATATCACTTAGGGTTGAGGGTGGTTCTCTCTACATCATTCACTTGGCTACAAGAGAATCTCCTTCCTCTCTGTTTTTTGCTCACCCCTAGAGAGAAGCCAACGAGACAGCGGAAATGATTGAGGAGGGAGTAGTGGCTCAGTTTTGTACAAGTTCAGAATCAATGTTTCGAAAAGCGCTAGGCGGCCCTGTTGAAAAAAGAAAAAAAACTGATGACTGATAATGATTAATCTATAAGAATTTTGATAATCCATAAAACCATAATCCATAAGAATTTTTATAATCCATAAGAACATAATCCCAGTTAAAAAAAAGAAGATAGAAGTCCAAAAGAGAATTTTGATAATCTATAAGACCATAATCCATATTTTCATACGATGCTAAAATAGTAAAACCATACAAGCATACACTGATAGTCTGATACATTATAGACTGTACATACAAACGTTAGATAGTAGAATTAGAAACTAGAAAGTAAAAACTAAAAATAAAAAAAAGAAAATATACAAAAATTCAGAAAATATATAGTCACAACTGTTTACACTCAACACAACAGTCAACACTCAACACCAAGAGGCTTAAATCATCATCATCATCATCCTTCATCAGAAGGAATAGGGTAAGCTTTATCATATGCTTTAGATTCGAAGGCCATCATCATTAGAGTCGTCTCCCTCTTCAATATAATGCTCGTCCTCCTCTGTTTCTTCTAAATCTGCCCTTTCCTCCTTTTTTTCTACCGCCCTCTTACTATTATGTTCAGATGAGGCATTAGGAGTCTTGGCTGCTCTACCCTTTTCTATTTTTTTGTGCTTCCCTGAACTCAAATATTGTATAATTTCCTCACTGGTAGCTTCAGGAACATTTTTACACAGGGCAACATCCCCTTTAATATTGGCAAGGCGTTTTTTAAACCGGTAAATGCCCCCATTTGTATTCTTTCCACAATAATTACATTTAATATGATTTTTGTCATTCGGATTCGGGTTATAACCATACTTCCAACCGGATCATCACTTCTAGAAGAATCTGGAGAAGATATTTTCATAGAACAAGGCTCATTTTCATCATTTTCTGGTTCTTTTAAATTTAGAAGTTGTCTAATCTCTTTTCGAATGGGTTCATGAACCTTTTTACAAGAAGCAACATTATTTTTAATGCCAGCAAGGTGTTTCTTGAATCGGTTAATACCCCCATTGATATCTTTTTACAATTTTTATCGTTTGGTTTTGGGTTATAACCATACTTCCAACCCGGATCACTTCTTCTAGAAGTAGCAGAAATAGATCTATTCAAATGACAAAGATGGTGTTCCTGTTTTTGTTTACAGAACTCATATATTTGCTTAATTTCCTCTTTGATAGCTTCATGAACATTTTTACAAGGGACAACATCCCCCTTAATACCGGCCTAAGCGCTGGGCGGTCCGCTTTTTTGAACAATGTTCAAGATCTTTAATAGCAATGTTGTCAGAACCAAATCAGAGAGGCAGGTCTGAACCAGGAGCTGGTGGCCATCCCAGTCTGGTTGACCATCTCAGCCAGTTGGTTCAATGGGATGAATCTGCTTGTCTCGATATAGATGAATAGGGTAAAAAATAACCTTTGCTTTATCCATTTTTAACTCAAAAATGTGTTTTTATTTTTATTTTATTTATTTATTTTAGTTTCATGAGGGGCATTTTGGTAATGAATATTAGGTTGGGTTTCGCACATAAAAAGCACTTTCTAAGGTAGGGAAAGGGTTTGGTGACTCTCTCTCTTTGTCTCAATAATACAAATAATGAACTTTTTTTTCCAAAATAATTTCCATGGTTTTTTTTCTTATATCCATTCTAATTTTTTTTTTGGGGCATTAATAGTTAAATGTTGTGGTATTTGCTTATTTTTGTGGATTTTTGTTTTTTATTTTTTTTAATTTCTTCTTTTTTTGGGTTGTTTAGTACTCTTTTTCTTTGAATCTTTTTTGAGCTTTCCTGGATTAAATTGTGATGTGGAGTTGAGGTCTTGTGACTTTATGTTTTGACCTTTTTTCTTAAATTCAATAGCTCATTACCTCATTAGTTCGATTTTATTGGTATCGCCTGATGGGATATTGGAGTGCATCATGAGATATGGAATTATGGAGGACGTACGGTGTATTATAATTTTATTTTATTTGCTAATACTTTTCTTAAATTTCCCTATTTTTCAAATATTTGTTTTTGTACTAAAGGTGTGTTATAATTTTATTTTTGTTCCTAATACTTTTCTTAAATTTCCCTAATTTTCATTTTTTATTTTTTTTTGCTTTGTCCATACTTTCTTTATTTCTTTTCAAATTTAATGTATTTTCTGAGTTTATTGTTTAATCTTATGACTGGTCTGAGCGGTCAACCTTTCCAGCGCAACGAAACTGGTTGCACTCACTGGTTCAGCCTCTTTTCTGGTCCAGACAACAGTGACTTGTACTCCAGGATAACCCCTCTTTCTTTCCCTTACAAATTTCATGTTCCCTAATCCCTTGTCCTTCTCTTTATTCTCTCCCTGTTTGCATATGGTCCTCTGAGTGCAACTTCATGCACACTTTTCACTTCCAACAGAACTCTTCCTTTTAAAGAAATTATCAAATGTTTTTTCTTTAGGATGCTCTGGCCGAATTAGAACATTTTCTTTCGTACTACTATAGCTTTTTGGCTAGATTTCATATCTAATGCTATTGTTCATTGTGGATGATATTGGAGATGTCACAATGAGGGTCATATGGAAGACACAGGAGATTGTCTGTCATCTCATCAAGAAAAAATGGCCTCTTCTTGGGTGATGCAGTAGCTCTGTACTAGGCCCTCTTTGTTCATGAGCTAGTAGAAACCTAAGGGTTTTGTCATATTCACTTTACCTTCTGGTGATCTTTTGGTTGGCTGGGAGTTGACCTCTTATATTTATTGAGGATTTTAGGGTTTCACTTGTGGTTCATGTGCTGGCTACTATTCTTATTTTTTCAGGTATTTGAGTTTCCATAGAATTACAAATTTGGTTGTATCTATTGGTGACATGTATTTTTGTCACTTGTAGGGGGATGACTGAGGTTACAGTCAAGCCTAACTTTGTTTTGTATCACTTTGAGCAGGAAAAGTTTCAAATGCTTGAGGAATTCCTAGGAGAATATTTGGTCTAGTCAATGTTTAAAAATTCACATGGGGCTGCCAATGTTTGAAAATTCGGCAGCTCGACTGGCTAGGCAGCCCGACTGCCTAGGCAGCTGCATAGGCAAAAAAATTTGAAAAATGCTTACGCGCTGTTTGGGCGGGATCATTATGCGCTCTGTCTCTGGGCACCCGCTTAGGCGGGTAAGTTGCCACTTAGGCGCTACGGTCTGGGCACCTGCCGAGGCGCTACCCCTTGACACTTTGTGGACAAGTGGAAAAAAACCCTCGGTGAGGGTAAAGAAATGCAATTTCCCCCCCAAAAAAACAGTGAAAAGGGTTTTGAGGGGTATTCTAAATCCCCAAAACAAAAACCATGGCTTTTAGGGTGAGAAAACCCCCCCCAAAAACTCCTTTTTTGTGATTTATCGAAAGATTGATAATTTTTTATTTTTTTGATTTCTTCTCAAAACAAAGGCAATAGTTTGTGGGTGGATTTAGAGCTTCTAGTGGTTGATTTTGAGAATTTTTTGCGACCCAATAGACGAGGTTTGCACTGACATCGATTTGATTTTGATATTTTTAAAGTATTATTATATTTGGAAGAGGGTTTTGATTTTATTTTGCCACAACATATTATGTTGTGAATCATGTATTTTTTTATTTATTTATTTTTTTCTTTTACAATACATTTACATGTTTGTGGTTAAAAGATTGATATTTTTTTTGTGATTAATTGAATTTTTTCTCATTTGGATGATGAAATTGAGCATATATCGTATTATTTTATGAATAGTTGATTCTTTTTTTGTACAATGTGTCATGTTTTGATATTCTATTAGTTTTCAATTATTTTTGTTTTACTTTATTTGATAAATAATTGATTATGTGATATCTTAATGGGTTAAGTCTTATGTGAAAGTGATACTAAGGTCTTATATATTCAGTTATTCATTTAAGTTTTATTGAAGGGTAATAGTTAATGACTTAATTCTTTAATCTTATGTATTTTACAGGTTTGTTGATTAGGTGATTGATTCTAATTCACATTGATTGATACTCGATCAATTATTATTCATTGAGGATAATGACTTCCAGTGCATTAAGTAAGCCAATCGGTCCAGGTTGGAAGTATGGAACTTGTCCAAATCCTCTTAACAAGAATATGATCGAGTGCAAGTTTTGCAAAAACTGTTATAATGCCGGCATCAACAGATTGAAGAAGCATGTAGCCGACATTAAGGGTGGCGTCACGCACTCTAGTGCCTGCTAAGGTCAGGAGATATGCTAGAGAACTTGGAGGGGGTGAAAGCCAAGAAACAGGAGGTGAGAATAACACGGGATGAACTTGTAAGGGCTGTAGATGTTCTTGAAGTTCGAAGAGAGGAAGAAGACATTTATATTGAGGTTGGTTATTTTAGTAGGCCAAGAACAAGACGACCTATGGATGCTTTCGTCCCTTGCCTTGATCCTGAGGTACTACCACGAGAAAGGGGTCAAACAATCTTAGAGACCCATTTGAAGAAGGATGAAAGAGAAAGGGTCATCCAATATGTGGGGAGGTAGATGTTTCAAGCAACATTTCTTTTAATGCCGTTAACTTGAGTAGCTTCCAAGCTATGTTGGAAGCAGTGGGCTTGTTTGGGCCAGGGTTGAGGGCTCTAACTGCTTATGAGCTTAAAGGGCCAATGCTAATGAATAACTACTTGAAGACCCACACTTATGCATAGGGTGTATATGGTTGCACAATAATGACCGATGGCTGGAATGATAAGAGGTGCATAAGCATCATGAATTTGATAGTGAATTGTTCCATTAGGGAAAATGTTCAAGAGGTCTATTGATGCTTCAGACAAGTCTCATGATGCAGAGTTCATTTTTAATTTGGTGGACCAGTGTATAGAGGAGATAGGGGAGGATAAAGTGGTCCAAATTGTGACCGATATCTATTCAACTACTATGGCGGCTGATAGATTATTGATGGATAAGGGGCTGCGTATTTTCTAATCCCCTTGTGGAGGAGGATGCTGCATAGACCTCATGCTTGAGGCCATTGGTACGAGGAAGACATTCATGACAACCATCGAAAAGGCAAAGAAAGTCGTAGTTTATTTGTACAGTCACACTCAGGTATACATTTTAGTATTATATTAGTTTCTTTAGCTATTTCTTACTTATTTTGAGTATTTTTAATGCATTGATTTATTGGCAGTAATTTAGTTAACTTTGGGAACTCTATGTTGGTCAGGTCTTAGTTATGATGAGAAAGTTTATTAAGAACAAAGACTTGGTGAGGCCTTGGGTGACTAGATTTGCCACCTCGTGCTTGTCCTTACAATCTTTATTTGAGCAGAAGGAAAAAGTGAGGTCCATGTTTGTGTTTGAGGATTGGGCCAAGTCCAATTGGTCCAAGAAAGATGATAAAAGAGTTGTTGTGGACATTATTATGGACTCAAGATTTTGGAACAAGGTCCAGTATGCCTTGTTAGTCTTTCACCCTTTGGTAAATGTTCTCAAGATGTTTGATGCTGAGAAGAAACTTGCTATGGGGCATATCTATAAAGCCAGGCAAGATGCAAAGGAAGAAATCAACAGATCTTTGTGGGATGAAAAGTGGTATAGGGAGTTTTTGAAGATTATTGAAGACAAATGGAACTCCCAGCTTGAGATGCCCCTACACTTAGCAGAATACTACCTTAATGCTGCTCACTTTTACACCGATGCTGAGGTATATAGTAGGCCTGAGTTCATGGATGCTTTCAACCAGTGCAATGTGAAGCTCAACCCTGATCGTGAAGTGCAAGATAAGGCAATGATGGAGTTAGATTTGTATAGGCTTGGTACTGGATCTCTAGGTAAGGAGGTGGCAGTCAGGCAAAGCTACAAGATCCCGCCCTGTAATTTTAGAACTCCCTCAGTTTCATTTTATAATTTGAGTATTTAATTACCCGGATGGCCATATACGTTATTTATTAAATTACTATATTTACGATTTTACATTTACATGAAATAGGTGCATGGCAGATGGGCCATTGTGGAAGCACCCCTCATTTGAGGCAGATGGCCATGAAAATACAAATCTGTCTTGCAGCTCTTGTGGATGTGAGCGCCACTTCAGCGCCTTTAAAATGGTAATATTACTTATTAAGTTAATGTCATACATACTTAGTAGACTAGTTAGTACTTAGTAAGTTAGTAACGAAGTGAGTTTTTTTTTATTAGGTGCATACAAAGAAGAATAAATTAGAGCAAAAATGACTGAACGACTTAGTCTTAGTTCAGTACAATCAAAAGTTGCAACTTCAACACCTTTCAAATGGTAATAGTACTTATTAAGTTAATGTCATACATACTTAGTAGACTATTTAGTACTTAGTAAGTTAGTAACTAAGTGAGTTTTTTTTCTATTAGGTGCATACACAGAAGAGGAACAGACTAGAGCAAAAATGACTGAACAACCTAGTCTTAGTTCAGTATAATTACAAGTTGCAAGAGCGCCATCAACAGTTGGAGCACAATCATAGGGAGGCTATTGAAGCTTTTGATATTGATGACACATGCGAGTGATCGGTCAATGCTAGTGATGATGAGGTTTTCCTTGGAGAGGGCTTGACCTGGGGCCAGGTTCGTGAGGTTGTTGGGATAGCAATGCCCCCTGAGCATACCACTCGGGCTCAAACTCAGAGCCAAAGGAAGGGGAAGGAGAAGGCCCAGCAAGGGAAGGTAGTGAAGGGAAGGCAGTGACGAAGAAGTGGAATAGGGTGATGACATCAAAAGAGGATGATGAAGAGGAAGAAGTAGATTCAGAGGAGACGAGGGATGACGCTCAATATGTTGAGGAGGGCGATGACTCTGATGATGTTGGCATGGAAACATCATCATTAGATGCTCCTCATGCTCCAATTGAACACCCTGTGTGGTGGTGCCTCTTATGCCATAGAGTTGTTTGGTTGATGGCTTGATGTAGTTTTTGTTTTTAATTTTACCTTGTTGACTTTGTGTATCGTTTCTAGACTAGACTTCTAGTTTCCTACAATGATTTTTGGGATTTCAAGCATTTCAATGTCTTAGAACTTACAAGCTACAAACTTACAATCCCTTTGAGACTTGTATCATCTGTAAATCTGTTATGTGATTGTAGTATTGTATTTGTACTATTATGTTTTCGTCTATTTCAAGATCACAAGGAGCTTGAGGCTCTAAAATTGCCCTAAAAACTCCTTAAGGCCTTAAACCATGCCCTAAGAACTACCCTGGGCTGCGCCTATGGGGGTGCCTCATGTCTTGAGCACAATGAAGGTGGGTAGGAGATGTTGGGTGGGTTGGAGTATAGCTTCTCAGAATTCTCTTTCTTCAATCATGCGGCTACTTCTTCTTTTATCCAATATGGTTTCATTTACTAAAATGGACTTGTATAATGCACTTAAATGTATGTGTAGCAGTTTCTGAAAGTGCTTTCATGAATTAGGAAAGTAATAAAGGCATAATTTATTCTCCACAATTCAAAATTCAAATTTAGAAGACAGAGTAGCATGTGTAGAGGGTTGATAATAATTTTAGGGGAAGTAATGTATATATTCATTATATTTACCGTTATTACGGGATTTCCTCAAAGTTTTCGTTATTATATCTGTACCCGTTTTTCACCATCTTAACAATTTTTTTAAAAGAAGACGGAAATGACGTTTTTCGATTTTCAAGAACCGAAATAGGACTAAATTTGGTTTTTCAAAAACCGATTTTTTGTTCTATTCTTTAAACCCTTTTCCCCTGTTTTTGTGGCTTTTTTGGGGGGAGAGAGAGGCTCGTTACTTTGATTTCTTGACCAATTTTTCCTTTTGTTTCTTCCTTTGTGGGTAGTGATGTTTGGGTGATGATTTCAAAGTTTGTAGAAGAACTTGTCGAATCCTGACCATATGTGGTTTCTCTCTCATCATAGTCCCAAATGCTGTAACGATAAATCTCAATGGTACCTATGCCTCCTCTGAGAATGCCTATGGTGTCTCTTCGTGTGATCATCAATACGCTAGCTCCCATGACTTTCTCTCTCTTCATATCTTCTCTTTCTTCCAGCATTGCTATCTCTCCTCCCGCTCTCTTCCTGAATTCTCTCTCTTGTGCAGTTACTTTCTCTCTCATAGATAACCTTCCCTCTACAATACATTTGCTCTCTTCTAAAGAACTCATCTATAGTCTCCCTTTCTTTCTTGGCCTGGTTTTTCAGTCTCAGAGTTCTCAGCCATCACCGTATCAGATTCAGTGATTCTCTCCTTAGAGAAGCAGATTTCATTGGTATCCCCTGATCACTAATGACGTAATACAAAGAATTTGGTGGGGGATAAGCTCCATCAAATTGGGGAGCTTTTTTTTTTGCCATCTTTTAACATCAAGTGAGACATCCTAGATGACTGTAGGATCCTTAAAACACTGTGTTCCTAGAACTTATTAACTTCAGCCAAGTGGCTTTTCCAATGTCCAGAAGAGCCATGTAACACTTTCAGATATTTCTTTCCAGCATTCCTTGCTGGGAAAACCTTCCATTCCACTTGGGAAAGGGGTCAAGTACTGTGGTTGTGGATAACAAACATCCATGAGTCTAAATCTTTGTCTGACATTTTCGCTTTCAGGTCTATGTTGGGCTTAGGTAGGGCATCTCATCAAAGGGTATCCCAAACGCAATAATATCATGAGATCTGTTTTGAAACACATCTTTTCTCACTGCCACAAATGGTAGCCAGGAAAGCTGATCCATAGTTGTTGGAGACAAGAGCCAGAGCAGTTCGGGGAAGGTCAAACTGTCATAGGGTGGAAGCTCCCCGGGTTGGGATCCGCATCTATACATTCAACATTCAACAAATTAAGGAGCTAGATCCTAGGATACTTGGGAGCGAGATTCCATGTCATTGGGGTTGAGGTTTTGACTTGGAGGAATCTAAGCTCCACTATGCATAAAACAAAATTAGTTTCTCTTAAATTTTTTTATGCCTCTTTCTTATTACAAGCAGCCATCTCATTCTACATAGCATTGACCTCATGTTCAGAGTTTCATTTTCCTTCTTTAACTAATTTATCCCTATTTAAGCCTATTTCTTATTTTTAAAATTCCATCACCTAATTAATTTCATCCCTTCTCTTCCATCTCTTTATACAGACACGTTCATAACCACGAGCTTATCTCGCATAGTCAAACTCTCTCTTGGTATAACCTTCTAATCGTTACATGATGGTCGATCTACCTTCTTATCTTGGAAGAAGTCTATCTGGCTTTTATATAATCCACTTTTATAGGTTATTAAATCTTTTCGCTTTTTAAATTAAGTATTTATTATTGTTAGGCCGTAAGCCATAGCAAAATCTAGAATAGTCTCACCCACCTCATTTCTTTCACCAAACCCATATCCCCCATGTACTCCTTCATATCCTCTACTATACTTCCTGACATGACCATTTAAGTCCCCTCCTAAAAAGGTCCTCTCTCCATTTGGTATGTCTTGGACTAGTCCATCTATGTCCTCCTAGAATAGTCTTAATTCATCCTCTAGTCGTACTTGTGGTGCATTAGCACCAATTATGTTAGTTATCTCTGTTCCTAATAGAAGTTCAATTAATAGGAGACTATCACATATTCTCTTGACATTAACTACTCAAAAAAACTACTTTATCTTTTAAATCTTTGTCTATTGTTATGTGTAGGCCATTTTTATCGTTATCCTTTCTTGTACCAATGTTTATACCCATCTATTTCCTTAGCTTTTTCCCCTTTCCACTTAGTTTCCTGTAGACAAGCTATGTTTACTTTCCTTTGTCTCATTCCTTCTACTAACTCCATACTTTATGTGGCTAAATGAATCCTATTCTCTAGGACTAGCTTCTTTATCCGTACTCGTCCAAATGTTGCAGGAATCCTTGCTCATTTTCCACCGCAACTAGGCGATGCTTCGGCGTTTCGCTTCTGGGGAATGCCTTAGCTAACCCTTACTCGTTTCTCATTGTACTCGGTTTCGATACAGCATGTTGCTTACGGGGAATGCACTAGCATTAGCAGATAACGTAGATTAAGGATTTATGGAAAGTTTTCACAAAGTTTCACATTAGTTGCCTATCTAACACAATCCACGTCTTTTACCCGGGCTTGGGATGGGTTAAGGGAAAGCTTAAAGTCCTCACCCTTCTTAAACCATGTCAACTGATTGATATCTGAGAAGGAAATTTGCTTTCATGCTTGATTGAAGAGACGGAGTTTGATCATTGCCGTTCCTATTAAGAAATTCTCAGTCTTCCTATGATGCTGCCTTTGACCTTAGGACCTATTCTGCTGTTATTCTGTTGGTGAAAACTTACTGGAATAACCTAGAGACCCTTTGCAAAACTCACATTTCTCAAATAGGGAATTGACGAGGAACTGCTATGAGCTTCTATTTTCAGTCTAATGGTCAGTCAACTATGTGCTTTTCAGAACCAAGTCAGAAACAGTGAGTTGTTTTACTCTTTCATTTTTAAGTAGCTCCGACTTTCCATAAGAACTTCTCTATTGATATTTTTAAGTAGCTCTGACTTTCCATGAGAACTTCTCCATGATTGCTGAATAAATAGACCATCCAGTATATTCCCATTGTGGGTGTGATATTGTTTTGCTTGTTTTGGTCATAAATGCCTTCCCTTTGTTCATTATCTTGCTGTTGGCATTTGAGAATTCATGCCTTGGTCTCAAGTTATTTTGTTGCTCATTGTTTTTGAAAAGCTTTAGTTTGCATTTATATTCTTATGAAAAGTAAATCCATAAATTGTTTCATTATGATTAACTCATAAGTCCTTGTTTTATTAACATTTTACTGCTTGTATTAACTATTTTTTTCTGTCTGGGTCTGGGAACCAGTGAAGTGAGTGGTGATAGACAGGTGCAGAGCACAATGTTAGAATTGCTGAATCAGCTTGATGGTTTCAGCAGTGATGACCGGATAAAGGTTAGATTTTGGTCTTTATCCCCATAAGAAGCCCATATTTTTGGTTTTCTTTCGAGTTGGTTCTGGATTTTTTAGTCCCTTCACTCTATTAGAGCTCACTTACTTCACTCGGCTTCCTTCCTTCACTCGCTTCTAGCACACTTCCTTCACTCGCTTAGAGCGCACTTACTTCACTCGGCTTCGTTCCTAGCTTTCCCCCCTTCGGAACTAGAAGGCAAAGATAGAGACAGGAAAGAAAGCCCCCTTCAGAACCCATTTTCGATCGACGGCACATGCTATGTTTCCTGAAACCAATTGCTCTCTCAAACTTGAACTTGATGTGGAGCACGCGAGCGTGCGATATCAAGTTATTCCTGCACTGATTGGTTGACAAGGGGTTTGCCCTGCAAGTTTTTGAAAAGACTGTTGAACAATAGTAGTGGTTTTTTTTTTTTATTCTTATATCGTAACACCTAAGAAAAATAATGCTTACCCTACTGGATTGAGACTTTTTTTTTACTGGCCTTTTACTTTTTTGATCTGGTACTGTATTGGACTAATGTAAGTTTGAGGTGCATTAATTTTTTTTAAGGGGTTCTTGCCTTTAAGGCCCGTAATTTTGGTACATAGTCTTTAAACATCATAGTCGTGCAGTCAGCTGCAAAAATAAGCTATATGATTGCTGTTCTAGGGGATGTACGTTATGTAAATGAATCTTCTTAATTTTTTTATATTTTTTGGTGGACACATAATCACATGACTATTTTAAATCTGGCAATATTTATGATGAATTTAAATTGGCTAAGATCGTGTGTATGGTTACAAGCTTATCTAATGTATCAAACTGCAATGGTCATTAGGATTTGGTGATGCATTCTCTTATATATTGACACTGTCAGAGTGGTAATATTTTACTCATTAGTCCTAGGAAAATGTCTTGCAACTGGACTCTATAACCCTCAAGTGGCCTGAAAACAGGACAAAGAAATCATGATTTGAAGGCCTGATCCAACTAGGAAAATCCATATTTTCTCAAATTTCCAGTGGCTAACATCAGAATGTAGCTTGACATATTATGATAAACTAGCTTTCTGGGAATTCATTTGTCGTGGCTCTGTAAGCCTCAGGAATTGGGATACATCTTACCATTCCAGTTAGGTAACCTTCTTAAAAGTATGCCATCTTTTTGGTTGCGCTATCTATCATTTTGTTTCTTATAATATGTCTCTATGGCAGTGGCTCCTATATTTGAAGGTTTGATTGTTCTTACATTCCCACTCCTCTCAATAGGCACTTCTCTGACGCAGCTTACAATGTGGCTACCATTGTGGCAGAAGCCTTCTTTTGCATTAAACCAACTCCTGTTCTTAAATTCCAACTCCTCTCAATAGGCACTTCTCTGACACAGCTTACAATGCAGCGACCATTGTGGCAGAAGGAGGCTTCATTGCATTAAACCAACTCCTAATATATCTGTTTGGGGATTGCTCCTATACTTGATGATTCTATTGTTCTTTAACAATTCCCACTCCTTTAAATAGGTGCTTCTCTGGTGAAGCTTACCAATGCCGCTGACACTGTGGCAGATTGAGGCTTCTCAGCATTAAACCAATTCCTAAGTGAATGCCGCACTTCATGTCGAGCCTAAAATGTAGGAATAAAAGAAGGGATTCCTTATCACATGAGGTTAGTACTTGGTGATATACATGATGCCTTACATGCATGAGAATAGTTTGTTGTCTAAAAGCACCACAATAAGAGCATCTTGGGTGCTGCTACCACCTTGCGACTGCTGTAACAACCTAAATATAAAGGGCTTATGTAAAGAAGCATAAAAATCACTCCGTACTCACCAGTACATTCTGAATAATACAACCTTCAATTTCCCCAATCATCCTATTGAGCTCATAGCTCGACTTTCTTTTATTTGCATCCATTTTGAAATGAGTAGGGCTCTATACACTTGGTCTAGAAATTTGCAGCATGTGTTTCTGTATCTCTTCTCTAGCAGCGACTTATGACTCAATCATGCTATACACCAGAATTCCTTCCAAATTCAGTTACATTACCAGCTTTGTCAGAACATTTCTCCAGGTGTGCTCCTTATAAAAAGGAGTTAAATGTTGAACAATGTACTTGATGTTCTGGCTAGAACAATGTGGCATGAATCCAATGGTATCCTTCAACTCGAGCAACACACAGAAATCTCTGTGAATTTGAAAAAGGGCTTTGTCTGAAGGCTTCTGATCATAAGATGATACTGGTATAGTTTAGGTTCTGTTTGCTACGTTTTAGGCAAAGTACCTTATTTGGAAAAAGCCAATACCGCTGTGGAACCGTCGTGTCTTTATATTAAAGAGGGCTCCAGACCCACTTCCAAAAATAATGTAGAACATTGCTTTTCAGCGGCATTTGCCATGATGTATTGATATTGTTTTGGGGTCTCTAAGCCCTTGGCATTGACTTCTCTACTCTCGGAATGCTCTTTTGAAGTGTCCCAACTTCCAAACGCCCTCTTAGTATGTCATCAAGCTAAAGATATTGTGGTCTAACTTTGGTTGGGCTATTGTAGTTTGACTGCTTTCCAACTTTTTCTGGAAGTTATTCTTTTTCCGAGCAAAGTGCGTCATCAGGAAACAACATTAGTTTTTCTTTTTATTTTTGGTTCATCTTTGAATAGCTTTTCCATTGGAGCCTTTTTTTTTTTTTTAATTTAAAAATTTTGTTTTAAACAGTGTTCAAAACAACGGATCGGGTTGACTAGTCGGTCCTGGCCCGATCTGATTTGTCGGACTGATTCTGACTAAATCGGCCGATTAGTGCCCCGATTTTTCCTGAAAAATGTAATTTTGGTTAAAGATCCCAAAAAATCCAAAAATAAATTTTAAAAATATTGAAAATTTACTTGTATTGTTTATTTATATTGTCACATAAAAAAAGTAAAACACAAAAATATTATGGGCATAATTGGATTTTGGAAAATTTTTTTTGACACCTGAATATTTTTAAAAAAAAATATATTTGCCCTTTGAATGTATCTGGCAGATTATACCTATGATCAAATCTGTGCAGCTCTCTAGATAGTTAAAATGAATAAAATTACTTGAGTGTGGCATGTTCTTTTGTACTTGCAACAGGTACCCCTCTCCTAGGGTTCTTGCAGCTAGAAGTTTGCTTCTCTCACTCTCATACGTACAAGTGTGATTTTTGTACATGATTTTTAAAATGGATAAAGTCACACGATTGCTACCTTCATAATATTAACATCTTAAAAATAGATTATATGAATTGTTACCACAGGATTTCTACAATTATGCTTTGATTTTTATGTACAACTCAATCTTAAAAATAGGATTATATTTTTTATGTACAACTCAATCTTAAAATAGGATTATAGGTACATATGCACATTCATAATTCCAATAAATTTTACATGTGCAATTTCATTAAATCGTTAACAATATACATTATGCTCAAATAGACATAAAACTTCATGAGTGCAAGAACATCAACTAACAGACTAAATGAATTTTGTGAAATGCATTTGTGTTGTGCTTTGGTCATTTTGTGTGGAACATGTTGTAATAAATAATCACTCATTAATTGCATGTGCCACTTTTTAAAGGCATTATGTTAGAGAGCAGGTGTTTCACTTGATTTTTAGTTCATTTACCTCCAAGAGAGAAAATTATGTGACAATAATTGCTTCAGGTGCCTAAAAATATTATGGGCATAATCGGGTTTCAAAGAAAATAAATTATGGGCATAATTGAGAGCAGTGCCCACAACCTTTGTGTCTTTGTCCAGGGGTGAGAGAGAGAGAGAGAGAGAGAGAGAGAGAGAGAGAGAGAGACGGTGGAGAGACGAGCGTGACGAGTAGTCGTCCTTCCGTTCGTCCGTTACGTACTACGTTCCGTACCCTTAACGTTTGTTTGTTCGTCCTTCCCGTTTCCCGTACGTACCG